TTGATTGTTACCCTTGTTCCCCAAATGATTATAACCCTGTATTAGGACCTTTAGAGGTCCAGAATGTCCCATGCCTGTGTATTTCGGGAATTAAGAGAGGTTTTGGATTGGAATCCTTATGCCTTAAGTCAAAATGTATATTACAAGTCTTGGGGTGTAGCATGAGCACCTAAATGAAGGCTTTACGTGGTGGACCAGTTTAGGAGGACCATACCTATGAATGGTCGGGACAATACTGATCTCAGGAAGCAGTTTGATCGACTGCATGGCATGGACTCGCCGAGTCCAATGAACAGACTCGGCGAGTAGCTTGGAGAATAACTGGGACTCGTCGAGCTGTTCTTCAGACTCGGCGAGTGGAGTCGAGGTGGCCCCGCGATTCTTCCACGAGGAACTCGTCGAGTCAAGAGGGATACTCGACGAGTAGAAAGGGAACATCAGGGAATTGGTGAGGACGTCTAGACTCGCCGAGTCGCCTTAGCACTCGCCGAGTCCGGTCAAGTTGACCGTTGACCAGAGTTGACCTACATGTGATTTCTTAGGGTCAGTTGTCTTAAAAGATAAAAGTATTAATAAGGGATATATGATATTATAGGGAGTCTCTAGCTCGGCGGATCGAGTGCGAGTGATTTCAGAAGTCGCTAGCTTTCATTACCCACGAGGTGAGTCTTCTCACTATACTGTACCCGGAAGGGTTTGACTGTGTGACCGGAAGGTCGGATATGATATGTGTTATACGTGCTATAAATGGTAAGGTAATTGCTATGCATGCTATGTATGTTTATATGGGCCGGAAGGCAATATGTTATGTGACCGAAAGGTCGGATATGATATATGATATATGTGCTATATGTGGTAGGATAAATGTATTATGTGATGTGTATGTTTATGGGCCGGAAGGCAATAGGTTATGGGCCGGAAGGCAATATGTTATGGGCCGGAAGGAGAATATGTTATGGGCCGGAAGGAGATTATGTTACGGGCCGGAAGGCGTTGTGTTGTAGACCGGAAGGTCAGGGCCTGGAAAGGCGTATATGTGTAAGTAGTATACTGGGGAACTCACTAAGCATTTATGATTACAGTTGTATGTATGTGTTTCAGGTACTAGCGAGGACCGTGGGAAGGCGCCGACGTGATGCGTACACATTGTTGACATTTTGAGGTCTTGGGGATTTTATTATTGTATTTTGACATAAAACTTGGAATAATTATATTTAGTTTGAATAAAATCACTTTATTTTAAATGAAAATTTTGTTTGAAAATTTGCGTTGTTACACTTACCAATCTCACAATCAAGGTGTAACTAAGTAATATTAAAATAAAACCTTTTAGCAATAAAACAAAAAATGTTATGTTATTTCAAGATCATTAAATTGTCTCGTTGAAAATAAATCAATTGATCTGTCAAGTTAGACAAATCCGACTCAATCTTCTCTATGCACATGCACCTCTCATCACTTTTCGACGAAATCCTGCTGATTTGATCGGTTAGGTTAAATTTGGTCAAACAAGTTCTTTTTAAACTATCACTAATGCATGAAAAGATGAATTTTAAATAATTTAATTCAGTTTCATATCTAGACACAGGTATATTGAGAGATTCAAGAATAAATTTACCTTGCTTATCCTCTGTTCTCATTCATTGATATGTTCAGGAACTGGCCTTGTTGTGAAGCAACTATCATCTCCTCTTCTACCATCCGTGGCATACCCCTGCATCTGTGATACCTCATTTGTTACCATCAAGCATTTTCCTCTGAACTGCGAACTCTCTTCTTTTGCAACGAACGCCTTGCCATGAATATGCCTACGAACCTCGTCATCTTCAAAATCAGTAGACCAAACTTCCACTCCTCCAAACTCATGCTCATCATTATTTTCCTGTACAATTAATCAAGCATAGATTTATCAATATTCTTTTTCTTCTTGATCTATTCGAGCTTTCGCATGTAATAAGCTTCATCATCTTCTCCTTCTTTCCTGTCATTCAACCTTCGAAGCATGCATTCCTTGGCCAGATGGTTTTTACCATGACAGTAGTTGCAAGCATAGCTAGAGTCACCCATGAGCTTCTTCTCCTTCTTGTCTTCCTTCTTTTGAGAACCTTTTGCACTTTCATCTTTTACCTTCTTAGAACTGTAGCTACCCTTCCAGTTTCGTTTTTTGTTGAAAGGAAACTTCTTCTTTGCAAACCTCTTTCGATTTGACACGATTAATGAATATTATTCATTCGTAAGCTCACATTCTGAAAGATCGGACTCAGAACCATCTTCATTAACTTTCTTTCCCTTGTCAACGAGGGATAGAGATTCCATTCTTGATGCAACTTTCTCCTTTTTAGTTACCTCATTTTTATGAGCCTTTAGGATACCAACCAGGTTTGCTAAATTATAATTTTTGAATTGCTCATGCGCCTTGACTGTTGAAACTATTTTTTTCCACTCAGATCTAATCCCATTCATAAGTTTGACTTTTTGTTCGATTACTTCACGTCTAATACATTGTTTCATCATCTTACTGAGAAGATAATTGCAGCGATTGAACGTTTGACTTAGACTTTCTTCAGGCTTTTGTGTGAAGGCACCAAACTCCAAAAGCAGGAGAGTTTGAGTAGAGTGTTCAAGATCTGCATTGGTGGTGTATAGCTCCTTCATCCTATCCCAGATAGCTTTTGGAGTATCACACGAACTAACTAGACGAAAGGTATCTGTGGGCAAAACAAATTGAATGATCCTCATTGCCTTAACATTGCTTATTAATTTCTCCTTTTCATCTTATGGAACATCCTTCACATCGAGAAGTAGTTTGTTATAATTAGATTGAGTCTTAATGACTCTTCTGGTTCCAATTTGAACAAAAGCACCCAAAGTGATAGCTTCCCATATAAGATAACCATTGTCCTCCAAACCAAGAACATAATCTTCAAACTGAAGTGCCCATACTTCATATTCATTGGGAAATAGTATGGGGATCCTAGTTGTCGATCGAATGCTGCTAGAAAGATTTATGGAGTTGATGTGAGAATCGTCGGGCTGCATGATGATATTTTCTTTGAAATATGTTAAGAATCAGATGTGTAAACTCAGATAGTTTTAGGGTAATATCAAGATCACTGAATACCGTCAAGATAACTATAATGACGATTGAACCATATCATATATTAACGGAAACCCTAATAACTCTACAAACATAAGAGATGCGTATAGATTACACAGTCTCCTACTTTGAGACCAATTGTTGGGATATTAATCCTTGAATGATCGATTAGATTCAAACAAATTTAAACAAGTAGCATATTTAAATAAGAACACAATGATGACTCACAATATGTTGAATGATTTAAAAGTCACACCTCAGAAGAACTCGATAAATAATTGCTACTGTAGAGGCATAATTAGGGTTACAAGAAATAATATCAGAGTTACCAAAATATGATGCATGCATGAAGCTTAAATACTCTAACCCTAGTAAGTAAATACGGGAGGACGTGCCTAACCCATTTACAAAACAATCTATACATAAGGCCTAATGATGCAGCATAATTATCCTAACACGAAACCTAGAAATTACATTGGTCTGACTCCCCAACAGACCAGCCATGTTGAATCATTACCATGCCAATTCCTCACCGACCATAAACTGTTGTAGAACACTTATGCTTGACAGAAGGCTCAAATAATATTTCAAGTAAAAGGTTCTCCCATGCAACGATTAGACTTAAACAAGACCTACGCAACATGGTCAAATCACTTACTCTGAGATTATTTAATCCCACTTCAAGTGACTTATGATTTCCCAAAGAACACGCTACCCTAAACAATAAGAATCCAATATCATTACTACTGCTCAAAACATCACCCTCCTTGCTGCTTTTCAAAAGCAGCCGAGACCTTCCTGGTCCCAACTTGTCTGCAAACTATCTGAATTACCGGACTTGTGCCCGGTTGTTGAGCCAAAATACACTCACACAGTCACCCCACACGACTTCCGAAGGAAAACCTCGACTACCAATAATTATCCAAACCATCTCGACACTAAACCCGATGCTAAGCTAAATGTTACAGGACCAACTATAGTCTTACCTCATTCCCGGTCTCCGACGACCTACAATTTCCTGATTCCAAACATGTTTTTACCTTCCTACAACTTTGTGAATAGACTAAACATGGCCAAAAGCATCAGAAGAAATCCATGAGCAAATCACATATTTCCCACAATCTCATCATTGCATAAGGACCAGTTAATGATACAGGCCACCCTGCAGTCTTACAACACTCCCACACTAACTGAACACTAGGGGCCACCCCTTAGTCTTACAACACTTCCATCTTAATCGCTAACTAGTGAATGCTGCGGTCCACCCCGCAGTCGTACAACACTTCCAACTTTCCACAACCACTAACCAAAGCCTTACCATTAATCTATCAATCTGATCACACCCATAGTCGAGCATATACTCGACCAAACACCTAAACTGACTCGGGTCATGATTAGAACCCCAACATGGGTCCACCAAGGCCTACTATCTGACACCAAGAAGGCATGAACCAAATGTCGGGAAGTTTCCCAAACTCCCAACCCACATAATCCTCAATCCAAACAGCCAATTGGGTCGCCTTCCTCCCCGACGAGGATTCAAAACTCATCCTAGTTTTCACACCTCCTTCTGTTCTTGAATACTTGAACAATTCTCCCCCCCCCCCTTTGATTCGACTAATCTCTTACAACACACAAGTATTGAAGGATTCCCAATCCTTCTTACCCTCCAATGATTGACATGCCGACAATCTATGCTAACCAATGCTAGTGATCCATCACTAGCCGAACTTAAAAGACCGCACTACCCCTAAAGACCAGATGAACACTTCCCGAATCCTAACAAAACTAAGGACTAGATGAACACAGCGCAAATTAACCCAACAATCTCCCCATTTGTGTCAATAAGGAAGGTAGATTCTTCGTTGTTATTGATGCTTTTGAACTTTATACAGCTTTGGCATTATGCCTGGAAAAGACTTGCGAACCAAGACATACAGTTAATCATATTAGAGAAGCACTTCTTGTCCGTAACACTGTTCAATCTTTTGTCTGGGAAAAAGAAGGTCACATCAGGTCTTTCTCGTTTCTGGAATGTGACACTCCAGTCCTTCTTTTGAATCCTCCCCAATATCATCGTATCTAGATCCTTCAGAGGTTCCTTGGGGAGAAATGTGGGTTTCTTATTTAGAGCAGTAGCAATTTCCACGTCCATCTTTCCAACCTCATTAATGTAGCGGACCAACATTCGTTTTATATGTGCAATTATAGGCTCAAATTTTTGTTCATCCTTTAGAAAAAGAAGTAATAGAGATATCCAATCGAATGGGTTGAGGAAGGGCATATCTGTGAGAATAAATTCAAATGTTGAACTCGCAGCCCCACGAGCAACGTTGAAATGAGCATTAATGAAGCTCTCGATTTTAATTGGTCCAAACACATTGATAGCTCTGATCTTCTTTGAGCTCCACATTTTGTATTGTTGTTTCAAAAACTTTAGATAGAATGAGAAGAGTTCCTCATCAACATTACGATCTGGGAGACGAGCATTCACTATCCTGTAAAAACTACGAAACTGAAAGGCCTTCAATGTGATTTGCAGATGAAGTTGTGAATCTGGAGAGTTCTCCAATTCAAAAGATACAACAGGCTCTAACGAATAGACATTCGAGTTGTCGATGGCTTCATTAAGAATTCGCTCTAATGTCCACAAAGGAAAAAGGAGTTCGTTGAGTTTTCAAGGTTTCCTCAGCTTCTCTTGTTGCCTTCTCTTTTTCCTCTGCCTCTTTAGCAACTGACAAGGTTTCATCTAGTTAAGTATCGCAAGGTTTACACTTTAACTTATCAGTTTCATCTTTTTCATCATCATCAATTTTCTCTTACTCTTTTGATGCTGAAGCTTCATTACCCTTCGGAGCATCAGATTTTTTCTTTTCTTCATAAGAATCACCACCACCATTTGCCATTTTACCAGTAGAATGGGTTGCAGCAGGGAAAATTTGCGAGAGTAAATTCGAACGTTGAACTCACAACCCCATGAGCATCCTTGAAACGAGCATTAATGAAGCTCTCAGTTTCAATTGGTCCGAAAACCTTGAAAGCCATGATCTTCTTTGAGCTTCATGTTTCGTATTGTGGTTTCATTTGCTTTAGATAGAATGATAAAAGAGCCTAGTCAACATTACGATCTGGGAGAGGAACATTCGCAATCTTGACAAAACTACAAAACTAAAAGGCCTTTGGTGTGATTGGCAGATCAAGTTGTGAATCTAGGGAGTTCTCCAATTAAAAACACACAACAGACTCTAATCAATAGACATTCAAGTTGTCGATGGCTTCATTCAGAATTAACTCTAATGTACACAAAGGAAAAACGTTCGCTAAGTTTTCATGATTTCATCAACTTGTCTTGCTGGATTCTTTTTTTTTTCTCTGCCTCTTTAGCAACTTGCAAGGTTTCATTCAGTTCAGCAACACGAGCTTTACGCTTTAACTTATGAGTTTTATCATCTTCTTCTTCATCATCATCATCAAAAATTTTCTCTTTCCATTTTGATTTTGAAGCTTCATTACCCTTTGGAGCATCAGATTTTGGCTTTTCTTCTTAAGCATCACCACCACCAGTTTCCATTTTACCAGTAATTCACCCTGGTTCCCCCTTGTTTTGGAATAGAATATTTCAAAATACCACCAATCATATCGAGCATTTAGAAGATATGCTTCAGTTTCTCTGCCATTTATTAGAACAAATCAAGAATTGATCGATAATTTTCATTTTATACATCAGTATAAGAGAGAGAGAGAGAAAGCCAACTGGTGACTGTTCCTTTTCCTTGAGAAAGCATGTGTGACATGCGTGATGTAAGGCGGCGTAACTAACAAGGCGTGATGTTAGGACCTTTTGAAAACATGCGCCCAAATCAGTTCTTATCCCTTAAAGATCGCATTATGTAATGGTCGTTCGTAATAGATCTCCATTTCATGTTCTCTGAATTTGAAAGTAATCATTAGAACTCCGAACCAGACTTTTGAAAATCATAGGGATCTTTGTGCAAGAGTGTGCCAAAGATAAAGAAATAAAGCGAGTTATCTACAGGAATCTAGTGATGTCAATAAAGACAAGAAATTGTAGGATCTCGAGCAATGATCTCTTCCTTCGGAGTCAAGAGAGACCCAGAAGTGTCTGTGTGGTATCCCGTTGAATTACGATCGTATGTTTGTTGAGGAACAGTGAAAGGTTCCTTTTCATCAGGCTTAAATGTAGCTTCATATTCAACCAAACTCTGAAACTTAACATAAATCTGAACGTTCGGAAGAAGTACTTGTCTGACCAATGTACCCATAAGAAAAAGTATGCTTTGAATTATTCTTAGTAGTTGGATAATATAGAAATCTCAAGAAAAATAAAAACTAGATCTTATGGGAAGAAAAATATTAGGTGTAGAACACTTCATTAAAATCATGCAAAAATAAAATAATGAGATTTCATAATACAAGCCATGAAGGTGGATTCACATCAATTCCTTGGTGAAAAACTAGAACATATCAATTGTTCACCATCAATTTTAAAAGTGGTTTTGGATTTTGGGTTTCACTCAATTCGTGGTGATAACAAATTTAAGATCATGAACACAAAAGTTGTGTAACCATAAACCTCAGTGGTAAATTCTGATAGTCTCGAGGGTTATGAATGTGAAAGCGAATGTGATATGGAGAAGTGTTAAACTTGGTTCTAAAGACATAATTGTACATCTTCTATATGCGAATGACCCAGTAGTCAACTCTTAACTCAATATGAGAAGAGTAAGGTAGCTCAATAACTTATGTGAATATTAGCCAGATTGGGAAGAAATGATTGGCAATATCGATTCATTAAGGCTTCGAAGATAGAGTCTCAGAGGCTTCGGACAACATGCATCATCATGCTTCTAGGGACACTTAACTAGCGCAAAGATTCAGAATTAGATACCTTCCCTATCATTCGTAATTAAGAGTTTCACGATGTGTTCCTTCAATCTTGCTCAATTATCTTTTTTTTTTTTGGTATTTTTAATGTTTGTACGAAAAGAAATAATACTGAAATGAAGAAAATATTTTTGTAATTTTTGTGATTTTCTGAAAAAGAAATAAAAACAGAAATAAAGAAAATATTTTTGAGTTTTGGATTTTTCGAAAATGAAATCAAAATAGAAAGTGAAAATGAAAACACAAGTGTACAACAGATACAAAGGATACAAAAAAATTTCGAACCTCCGAATGAATAGTTGACTCTGAACCACTCCGAGCGTTCGGACCCATTCGCAGCGTGAAAAGTTGACTCCGAACCACTCTGAGCGTTTGAACCAAGTCGCAATGATTTCATACCAACTACGAAGGTAGTTTTAGAACTAATTTAAATTCAATCATTCCTAAGACCTGAAGTATTCTATTGAAGGTTTGTTCATGTAAGGCCTTTGTGAAGATGTCAGCTAGTTGATCAACAGATTGTACAAAGTGAATTTCAACATTGACATCCTCCATGTGATCCTTGATGAAATAATATCTTAGTACAATATATTTAGTCTTGGAGTATTGCACTAGGTTGTGGCAAATGCGAATTGCACTTTCAGAGTTGCAATATAAGGGGATTCGCTTCGTATTAATCCCATAGTCCCTCAACTGAATTTGGATCGAAACGACCTGCAAGGTGCATGAGGCAGCTGCAATGTACTCAGCTTCAACAATCAATAGTGAGACACAAGTTTGGCTTTTAGATTGCCAACTAACGATTTTGCTGTCAAGAAATTCACATCCTCCTATTGTACTTTTGCGATTAAGACAGCATCCGCCAAGATCAGCATCTAAAAATGCTTGCACAAAGAAACCTGAATTCGAAGGGTACCACATTCCAAGCAAAGTATTTTGCATAAGATATATGAAGATATTCTTTACAGCCTTCATGTGATGTTTACGATGATTTGCTTGAAACGTGGCACATTAGCAAACAAAAAACATGATGTCTGGATGACTAGCAGTTAGATACATCAATGAACCTATCATTTGTCGATAGAGAGTCATATCAGCAGCTGGTTTGTCTAAATATGGTGTTAATTTCATTATGAATGCCATTGGAACCTTCACTTTCGAATCACACTCCATTCCAAACTTTGCAAGTAAAGTCTTCGTATAACCCTCCTGATTTATGAATATACCCTCTTGACTCTATCTAATATTCAAACAAAGGAAAACGTTAATCAAACCCATTGAGCTCTTCTTAAACTTAGTCTCCATCAATGTTCAGAATTCTGTAGTCAGTCTAGGATTAGTAGATCTGAAGATGATATCATCAACATAAATATGGATGATCATTAGATGGTCACCATCTTTCTTGCGAAAGAAGGTTGGGTCAACCGATCCTTGTTTAAATTGAGATTGTTTTAAGAATCTAGTGAGAGTTTCATACCATGCTTGTGGAGCTTGCTTTAGAATATATACTGCTTTATCTAGAATATAACATTGGTTCATACATTTCTCATTTACGAACCCAGGTGGTTGTTTCATATAGATGGTTTCTTCGAGTTCTCCATTCAGAAAGGTACACTTGACGTCCATTCGATAGAATTCAAAGTTCTTGTGTGCTGCATATGCCAGAAAGATGCAAACAGATTCTAGCCTTGCTACTTGTGCGAATGTTTCCTCGTAGGCAATGCCTTCCTTTTGGCAATACCCTTTTACGACTAACCGATCCTTGTTTATTGAGCTTATTCTTAAACACCTATTTGAGACCGAAAATATATGCATCCTCCAGAGTTGGAATTAGTCTCCAAACCATGTTGTGTTCAAACTTATTGAGCTCCTCCTGCATCGCTTGCTCCCATTCAGAATGATCAAGGGCAATCTTAGCATTTTTTGGTTAAATCTTGGAGATAAACGAATTGAACATGAAAAATTCCACTTTGGAGAATAATGTAGTCTGCTTTGCTTTTTGTTGTGCTCTCGTAAGAACTCCTGAAGATGCTTCTCTGATTACTTTCGTTTTAGGATGATATCTTGTCCATTTTGTCAACAAGGGGTTATTTGGATCATAAGATGGATCTAATTCATTATTCACGTCTTCAAATTCCGACTGAGCATCTGAATCATCATTTGCAATCGTGTTCTTCCCCTCGAATGATGGATTTGGCTCTGCTTCCTGAGTAGGATTCTCTCCTTGAAGAGGATTGTCATGGTTTACTTGAAGAGTTAGATCCTCCCTATGGAAAGGCGGTTTGAAGCTAACTTTAGGAAAAACACTCTCCCCCTGAACAGGAGTTCTTGAGAAAGTGTGGAAATGAAACTGTAACGCTTGGTTTAGGTATGCATTAGTTCTAATTATTTTTAAATTTGGAAGGAACTTGACAAGTTTGGAGGCTCCAACTTGACGAGTAGAAAGCTTTCCAGCCACGTAGATTGAAGGATCTACTCAACGAGTTGGGGAGCCGTAACTCGACGAGTAGACACTTGGGATGAAAACCCTAATTTTCGGGCATTGCACCCTATATAAAGAACATTAACTCCTAGGGCTGGCCTCCTTACCAACCCCCTTGCCCAGAGAAAACGCTAGAATCACTTTCCTCCTTGTGCAATGAGTTTTGTGAGTGTTTGAGTGACTGTTTGAGATTTTTGAAGGAGGTTTTTGAAAAGAGCAGTATCATGCTTGGAGGAGTGAACTTAGATCCAGAAACTCTACATCAAAGGCTGCATCTTGGAGGTATAAAGCCAGAACCTTAATGTAGCTTAATAGATCTCATGTTTTCTAGTTTGGGGCTTGGTTTTAGGACTTTGGCTTGGATGTCCAAAGCAATGAGGGTTCTAGAGGTTGAGAATGTAGACTTGACCTCTATAAGACCTCTATAGGATTACTTTAATAGCATCCATGTCCCATTAATGCAATATGTTCATTTTTAAGCCAAAAGTAGACCTTTGAGTGTGTTTCACGCATACATAG